CTCTCTCTCTCTCTCTCTCTCTCTCTCTCTCTCTCTCTCTCTCTCTCTCTCTCTCTCTCTCAATTTTTTTTGTAATATTCTAACTTTCTCCTATAATAAAATTTAATGAAAATGAATTAAATATGTACATATATAATGTACCTTAAAAGTATACTTATATACATATATAAAATTTTATTGATAAATTATATATTAGCAAATTGAATAATCAATATGTATAACACTACACGTAAAAAAATTATATTGTATTAAGCCAACAGCAGCCTAATTGAAAATAATTTTATTTGTTTAATAATAGTATTAATGAAATAAATAACATTTTATTGAAACAAGAGTATGGCGTATTTATTCCATTAATATCATTATTGAAATAACAAGATTATTTCCAGTTAAACTGTTGTCGACTGTGGCTGTTATACGATCTCATTTTTTCCGTGTAATATTCAAAAATATTACATCAACATACTAAAGATAATACACAAAGGTATATATAAAACGTTAATAAATTTGATTTATTTTATATATAATATACTATTTTTATGATATACTATGTTAATATATTTATATATAAAATATGCACGTGCATACAAAATATTCCGGAAATTATGGTACAACCAAGGAAAGAGGTAATTCTACATAAAAAAGTATGTTAAAAATGTAGAATAAAATTTTTTCATATGGGGCTTTGTTTTCGAGAAAATCGATTTTGAACATTCGCCGAGTACATATACGCTTCGGTGTGCACTTAACTTTATCTCGATTTGTATCTCGCTGCAGACTATTATCTATGATCAAGTTTGTATTTATTATTATACTGAACAATTGAAAATGCACAATAAAAACAAGATATTCGAGCACGATAAATTTTATTACCTTATAAATTGTCGAAAATATTATTCATTCTGTTGAATACACAATTTTGTTCGACAAAATAAGTTTCTATCTCGGTTTCTATAAACGCGTTTCTAACATGTGTTTTGATGCTTTAATAATTAACTTAACAATTAAATTCATACCCGGTAAATATAAAGTCGATTTTCTGAAAAAAAAAACAAAGCATCATATGACAAAATTTCATTTTTTATTTACCTATTTTTTTCATATAGAGTCAGTAACCCCTTTCCAATTGTATCACGATTTCCAGAACATCTTGTATATAGCACTTATAAATATGTAAGTAAGTTTTCTCATATTTCGTCACTCTTATTTGCTGAGGCAGTATCCATGCAGACCCATCTGTTTCTTTATAAGTGTGCATTATGCAATTTCTGAACTTATTCTAAAATTGAGATTTTATATATATATATATATAACTCAATTTTGAAATAAGTATATACTTATACATATATAGAATCTGCAAGTCAGCGGGGAAGTGTTTTTTTTATGGCTAAAGTCGTTATGATCCTACAGTTTTTATAGAAGCAATTTGCATGCAGAGCGTAGAGTGGCGCATTGTGCAAGGAGATTGAACTTCTCGGGGTCAATTTAAAAATCCCGGTTCATTATTTTGCAAAACACGACATAGATCGACGCAAGCAAAATTACTACTATATCATAAAAAAACGGCTTCTCTCACTTCTCTTTTATATGAAAATAATGGCAGCATTTCTTCGGTGATGCGTGAGATGCTACATAATTTTTCGCGAATCTCATGAAAGATACTATTTAAATAATCGAGTTTTGACAATATTGACTTTCATAAAATCGCAATAAACGGGAATTCTTCGTTCAAAATAAGTAATAGAAATGCGATCTTAATACGAGAAATATGTTTTTCACATTTGTAATATAGAATTTATTTAAAAATCGCTCATAATAATTTCTTAAATAATTTTGAATTTTATATCAATTTAATCTAAATATTAATTTTTTCTTCCTCAACATACCTATATCATTGTGTGTGAATATAATTAATCACAATTAGAATCCAAATGTTCTTTTAATAAAATATTTAAACTACTGCTTGTTTCATTATATAACAGAATCAAATTATATTATGTTATAATAAGTACAATATTATTTTATATCATGATAATTATTGTAAAAAACATTAAGTAGAAATTTTTTATTCGTAAAATAATAATTTTACATTAAAATAAATATAATTTTAATTTAATATTAAAATAAATAAGTAATCAAAAAATGTTCAATACAACGCTCAAAAAATTAATATATTGTACAATTGGCAAGCGATTATGAAAATGTTGTAGAAATGGTCTTTTAAAATATAAAAAAATATTATATATATTGTACATTTTTCATTTAAGCATATTTTTAAAAAATATTTAATTAAAATGTACGATATAGCATTTCAAATTATATATGGTCGACAAGTCATTTCTACATTTGTCGTTGTTTATTCGCAAATATTTTATAGTTTTGTCATGCAAATATTTTCTAAACTGAGACTCACCTCTTTCACTTTGTCCCTTCGTTGTCTGGCGATGTGGTCCTTATCCTCTCCGCCGACAATTAATGGCAGCTTATCCGCAGGCGCTGGTGGCACTGTCACCAAAACCGTTTCTTCCTTGTGCACTATCAACGATGAGGAACTACTTGTACGCACTCGCGATTCACCCATGTCCGGTTTCTCTAATGTCTTTTGTTGTTGATACTCTTCGTTGATTTTTGCCTAAAAATTCAGCGCGCATTCGACATGTATTCCGCGATTATTTTAGATGGCATGCGAAAGTCATACATATACTTTTAATTAATAATTATTAATGAATGTGATATTTAATCACGAAATGCATTGATTTGTACTATTATATTTTTACATTCGAATATGGATTTATTTAGATTGAATATACAAATACATATAACCGCTTTTTTCCAATTTTTGAACAAATATTGTTTGTATTTCTAGATTCGATTCAAAAATAGAAATCGATGAGTTCAATTCAATCGTAAGGCATTGTTATTTTTAAAAAATGTATATATAAAAATATAATTAAAATAGAAAAAATGTATAACATATATTTAAAATTATATTTGAGCATCTTTTACTTTTCACATTTACTTTCTATTCATTAAGCTCATATATATTTATTTTTTAAATAAAAATAATAGTCAAAGAGTCTGTTCGAATATGCACATTCACACATATGTGGCAGTAAATAGGAAACAAACTACCGACATTTTAGTCGAAATAATTTCAATCTAAGCGATTGTTTATATCAATATCTGGTTTAAATGTTACAGCACAACAAACTTGTTGGATTTCCATGACTGGTTTCGCTATCTCTAATGCGTAATACAGACAATAATTATGCAAATGCACATTGCTAATTTTCGCTCAAACTAGATTAGTTGAAAATCGGACTCAAGAGATTACATTAAAAAATTTTTAATTAAAAAAATCAATACTCTTTATACTTAAGCCATAAATATAAAATAAGCTTTAGCTTTCGCTAGTCTACCTTATTAAACAAAAATAAAACACATAAACTTATTTTTTATTTTTATTTAACTCAGTATTTGTAAAATAAAGATGTTGTATCTTGTAAACTAAGATTGTAATCTTTTTTTCCGCCGTTAAAACTACACTATCACTTGCAAAAATGTATATGTATGAATATGAATATCCGCAGTTATTAAACACAAGAGTCCACAAATTCGTTAAACACACACACACTGAAATGACTGTACGGATTAGTCATTGCTACGGAAAGAAACCAATGCATTTCCACGAAAATCACGCATGCCATCTGTAATCTAGATTCCACGGAAGTACATTCATTTTCGCCTTGTTCACCTTCGAACAATTGCATGTTCTCGAATGCCTTACCGTTATAAGTATCATGTTAAAAAAAAAAAAAGAAAACTATGAGAATTACTTTCATATACGGAAAACACGTTTTTATTCAGTCTCATTAATTTCATTTCCACAAGATAGTAAAATAACGATATTTCCCTGAGAAAATGTCTGCTGAGAAACAAAGATTATTGAGATAATGACGACAAAAATAATAACGCAATATTATTAATCGCAGTAAAACATCTTTCTCTCGTCAATGCTTTTAAATAAATACTTTCTGTATATCCACCTTATATATCTCAATAATTGCCATTTCACAACTACTTATTGTTAGTATGATTACTACTTGGGTATGACAAATGCATATTCATGCGGAAACACGCGTACATGAACGCTACTCAACGATAATGCTATTTATATTATCGCGGGATATCTTCTTTCGCATGTTCACATAACGCTGCTCCAATAGATCGCATTTCCCTTCGTACACCACGTACGTTTTTATTCGAGTCGCTTCCCACGTAACAAGACTCGGAATAAATACAAAAAAAAAACAAAACATTATTGCATTCTGCGAAGCTTAGCTTCGTGGAGAGAGAATCTCAATTTTTAAACAACAAATTAAGATATTGCCATAATGGTGTAATTTACTACAGGATTTGACTGACAACCTTTCGAAAAATCGACAGCAACAACGTGAGTTTGATTTATGACGAAAAAGTGCAACGTGCGTTTAAAACGAGTCTTGATTATGATTTCCTACGAAAGAGAAGAGAACGGCGAAACAGAAATAACAGCGGGACGAGTCACGCGCGCGTACGAACAAGATAAATCATATTTGCTACATACAATTCTAATAGTACGCTTATCTGTATCAATTAACGTCTCAGTCAAAACTTCGATTTATATAAATTTTATCATAAAAGCGTAAATTTATCATAGAGAACATATCACACGTAAACAATCTGTTCGTTTATCCGTATCTATATCAAATTTAATGTGTATCTTTTTAACAAAAATTAATTTTTCTTTAAATATTATTTATTTTTCTTCCTTTTTTTTCTATAGAACAATTGCTAATCCGTTAAAAATCATCAGCTATAGATTTTAGCAAATTCATTAGATGTTGATCAATGAAATTATATATATTCTATTGAGAATTTTTGTAATTTTTACTTAGTTTCAAGGTATATATATAATCGATCATCTTCATCCAGATATTGAATCATGGAAATGCATCACCATACAAGGGCAAGTTCAAAGCACGATCTTGCGCAACCAACTCACGTTGAGTGGAAGGAAAAGAGCGCAAACGAAACGGAAGTTTTTCAACGTCGGTATCCACAGCAAGTCGCTAAAGATATCCAGTATCGTGTTTGTTGCCCCCGTTTACCGAGTGAAATTAAATAGACTTTAACCTGGACGAGTTCAAACAATCAAATCAGTTACGCAAGATACGCTTTAAAATGCGTCTGCATTTAATGGGAAGACATGAGAAAACAAAGCAAGCAAAGGGAACTATGCTCGAATGATTCTCGAACAAAATGAGATTTAAGAACGTTTCTCCAGATAACACATCTGATCCAGTTGAGCTTGAAAATAATTTATCTCCTTGAGTTCTTTATATGAATAGCCTAATCTATTCGAAACTCATTCAAAAAAAATTCAAAAATATATACAAATGTATTGATATACCTATTTATCTATATGATACCTTTAATAAAAGTAATACTTAATTTGCATAAAAATTCAAGTATGATTTATCCTTGTACAAAATTAAGAAAGAGAAAAGAGCAGAAAAAGAATGCCTTTTGAATCTGAAAAAAGTTTACAATTAGTAACATAAAAATAAAATCTTTTGAAATTCTCAGGAACACTATTAGAAATGTTGAGGCAAAATACAAACAAGAATTCATTATATAAGTCGAGAATCAAAAAAAGAATTTCCTTTAAACTCTGTGCTATCTGGATCCATATTTGCGAATAGACGCTCTCATGACGACGTCCTAATTTCAAAATATATACGTGTTGATCGTACTACGTTGCATCGAGATGCGCGCGGAATCGATCTCGATGATGATTATTATTATTATTAGATGTTAATATGATTAATTAATATCTATTAATGAGACGTCTGGTTCGGTTAAACAAACGGAGGTGATCGTTATCGGCCATTGAGACGGAATCGTGAACGAAGTGACAGCGCGTGGAGTTCGCGCACGTGCGTCAGCCATGTACGTTACAATGGCCGTATGTAAACAAACGTAGCGCGACCTAACGCAAACGGAGCATGTCCACCTTGTGCTTTCTACCGCGACGGTACTATTTACTGAAGGGAATTCAACATTGCGCGAGAAAAGTGTTTCCTGTTGACGACAAGGAAACTCGTTCAAGGGGCAAGGCATTCGAGAGGAGACATCGACACCCTTGAATCGAACGAGAGAGATCGATTAAAGGGGAGCGCGAATTTGCACCTGCAGCTTCTGCTTGTCCTCGACGAGGTGTACGTCTTGATGATCGCTACCCTCGTGGCCCGGCGGCACCGCGTTCGGATGTCCGATCGCGGACGAACGCGAGTCCTTGACGTCGCCGGAGGCGCGCGGTGGCACCGGCAGCAGCAGCTCCGGTCCGGCCTTCTGCATGCTCTGGTACACGCGGTAGACACTGTTCACGGCGGCACCGCCGGTACGAAAATCCGGCAGGTAGAAGAACGCACCGAAGCACACGACACCGAACGTCATGAATACCAGAAGGATCAGGTACTTCTCGCGCGGACGGAAGGACCGTCTCGAGAACAACGGCACCGGTACGCCGTTCGCAAGGCGCTGGTACGACGGCAGCACGCCAGTCGACGCGCTCATCTTACCGCGACACACCGACACACGTGCAACACACCGCGGCACTTAATCACCACCCCGGTCTTGACGGATACGCGAAAACTCGAGCACCCGTGCGCGTTTCGCACCCGTGGCTCCTCAGCCGTCATACGCCATTACGAATCGAGCACCACCTGCGTGAAACAGTTGACATCTCGTAATTGCTCCGAAGCGCCGATCAGCTGACGTGGCGCGCGCTCCAAACTGCTCAGCGACAAGTGGCTGCCTGCCTGTCCCTTTTCACCCGATATACCAATGCGGGCGACATCTGTCAATAACGTCAGGGATCTGACTTACCATCGGTCAGGATGTGGGAGTTACATATTTCTCAGCTGATAATAGCAAAGAGAAACCTAATCATATAATCGAGCTCTAAATAAAAAAGCATTAGCAAGTAACAACAAAAAGTTACAAACCTATATTGGTTATAATTATGTCGTTGTATATGGGTTTGCAATCATGCAAATGTAAAAATAATTAAATCAAATTGAACAATAAATTATTATGGTCTAATTAAAATGTTAAGTTTAGTATAAATTAATAATTAGTATTTAATATTTAGTACAATATTAACAAATCGTTATTAATAATTAGTTATTAACTATTAGCTTTTTTATTTATTGATTGTTAGTTATAATTAACGTAATATATATATACGTTATTTCTTAAATTTATTGTAACTACACGGAGAGAATTTTCTTTTAAAATTTATTCTTTCAGAGAATATTCTTTTAAAGTTTTCGTACGAAATGCAAGAGATCCGGGTTCGACTCCTGGTCGAGGTAATATTTCTCGCAATAAGAATTAATTATTTACAGATTTTAATATTAGTAAGATCATTTCGCAGATGATGCGAATAAGCAAAAAAAATTTGTTAAATTGCTAGTCAATTTAACTCGTGATATTACTGCGTAGTTTAGTAGAGTTAGCGATTCAAGACCGAAAAATCATTTCGGCACGCGTTTCTAAAGACTACATACGTAGGATATAAATTCACACAAGAATCATACAAGCATTTAAGATCCAGCTAGACCGTTTAAGACTTTGATTTCTATAGTTTGTGTTATCACATATACGGTCCTATAATATATTATATTGTTTTAAAATTTATCCTGAAAATATGATAGTTGTGGTACAGCATAATATATATATATATATTTTTTTTTTAAGATTTTTACCATGCACTTCAGTAAAATTAATTAAACTTATTTTATACTTTATTGTAGTTTTATTAATAAATGAGAGATTTACATTAAAATTCTTCGAAAGACACATTGTCGTCCCACGACTATCATATTTTCAGGGTAAACTCTAAGAAAAAATTCTCTCTGTGTGTGTGTAGAAATATCTCATTAATTATAAAATTAAACATATTCCTATTATCATAGACATGATTTAGACATGGTTCAAAAAATTTAACTAGATAATATTGTAAGGGAATTTTATTAATGTTACAATAAAAGTAAAGTATTTTTAAAACAAAATACTCATACAAAAAGTATAAAATCGACCATTTGTACATTGATCTTACAGCTCTTAAAAGTAAGTAAAGTAATACAATGTAATGCAATGTATGTTAATACACAAAATGTAACTTTAAAGATTGTTAACATAAAATAAACTCCACGCATTCTCAGAGATCAAGTTTCACCTGTTCCCTACATAATTCTTCTCTCATAATTTGCAATACAATTTCTATCCTAACAAGATAAGTTCTATGTAGCATGGCTAGTATCACAATTCGAACTTCTCATCTGCGCAATAAAATAAAATATGCAATTGCATAGAAATAGAAAATATGGTTCGCTCAACTATGACATACAAAATGAATTGTGCTGATTTAAAAAAAAGCGTGATTATATTTACGTATATACAAATAAACATATATACTTTAGATATGAATAACGCCGTAATTTAAATACATCGGTGAACTATTTTATAAAATACAAATGTCTAACAAATGATTTAATGTTATGTTAGAGTCTGCGCCTGTTACAATAATAATCTAATTTAATAAACTATATAAGTGCATTAAAATATGTCTAAAATAATAGGATTAAGTACAATTTTTCTACAAATAATATAAATTTTACAAAATAAGTCTCTACTAATAAAATTTGTAACAATACTTTTGTGTTTGTGGACAATCTTTTTGACAATCTTTTCTTAACTCGTCTCAATTTTAAGGGTAGATTAATGACAAATTGTTGATCCACGTTCCTTGTAATGATACTATATAATGGTACTATATAAAATGACACGTACTTGATTTTCTGTTCGCTCTTCCATTCCTCGATTAATCAAGTATTATAATTTTTACTAAATTAGACGTTAGCTCTAGATTTCTCTTTTACTCTTTCGCCCCTGTTCTATCATATCGTTGTCGAATAACCAAAAACTCAACAAAAAAGATAAAAAAAAATATGTGTGTATGTGTGTGAGAAAGAAAGAAAAAGTGAAAAAAAAGGAAATAAATTAGTGGAATACAATAAAATATTAAAAAACTTTAGTCTTTTTTAGTTCAATTTACTTTGAATTGGCCCATTTCGACATTAAAAAATAGAATGTTTTCACTGTGAATTTTTATTAAATGTTCTCAAGTTTAATAACCTTTGTCATTAAAATTAATAAATTGTCATTAATAATAAAGTATTCTAATCATACACATCTAATTGTATAACTAGTAGCTGCACAATGAGGGTCTTTAATCAAAAATTATCTAATATTTGTACACAATAACATAACTAATATTTATATGTTTCGGTACTTCATCGAATGTCATTTAAAACATTATTGATTATACTATATATTTAATTTTACATCTCATTTTTCGAAACTATGTAAAAATTTATTAAATTGCATGCAAGAAATGAGCATTGCTTAATTTTTGGTGTTGTATTTTGCAACGCAGATTATTTAAATTGTAATACAATGCGACTATAGAAAATACAAACATTTTAGATTTTTGTAAACATCAATGACTTGTTATTTTACTGATATACTATATACTAATAAATTTGCTACAAAGAGAGCAGAGCTACTTTTTCGTCAGCGAAGATCAACATTCGATGAAACCGGTATAAGTCTTTCAATCGTCTTCATACGAAGAAACTCAAGTAGTTTTGTTAGTCGGTCTGAATCGCGACATGTAAAAATCGCAATCCGAGCAATATAGTGTTGGCTCAAGTACATTTCTCTTTCGACAGAGATTGCAGGGTGTTACGTGTGCCCTCACGGTGGTCGCAATGCCTGTTGGCGTCTGCAAAGGAGGCTGCGTTACCATCGGAACAACCTTCGCAGTAGACATCGTAAAGTGCATCTGTTTGGGAAGTGGAGGATGCTGATAGGCGGGATACTTCGCATTTGGCTGTATTTGACCATTCTGCATCGTCTTAGGATACTGATTAGGCACCATAGGACCTTGTTGCTCTAGCTTTTGATTGTGAGACAATTGTCGCTGGTAGTTATCATGCCTCTGCTGATAATTCTGCGTGTTTTGTTGCTGTTGCTGCTGATAGGCCAGTGAATTAGATGATGGTTGATACTGCGGTATTGGTTGGCCCGCTCTGTTTTGTGGAAGAACAGTCTGATAGGGATGACCCTGATAGGAACTTTGAGAATATTGACTTTGATATAGACTTGGCGATTGATTAGGCGGATAAAATTGCTGTTGCGAATGCTGGACAGTTATTGGGCTGGCATTGTGAGAAGGAATTCTTTGATTCAAAGTATTCTGCGGTTGAACAGTCGCTTGCTTGTTCATTTGATTATGCTGCTGCTCCAATTGATTATGCAATTGCTGCTGATAATATGTTCCATAACCGTTTTTCTGAGGTAATATTTTTGTTTGTTGCATTCCATTTTGAATGTATTGTCCATTCATTTGCGTCGGATAAGGACTAGCTGGTTTCTGAGTTTGCGATGAAGGAATAATTTGATTTCTTGGATGGGACGCTTGCGTTTGCGGATATACCGACTGCATATATTGCGTGTATCCATTCTGAGTATATCTGATTTGCTGTTGCAGCTGCGGTGAATAGGATGTCGGTTTCGAAGTGTTCATGGGAATACTAGGATAGCTTTCTTTACCATCGACCACGTCTTTACCTTCGTTTCCACAAGATCCACAGGACTTCTTATCCATTAGTGATCCAATCGAATCACTAGAATTCTTTCGTCCAAACGTAGGTTTAATGGTGTCTGGAATTGGATTAACGCTCCTCAATTGATCCTGGAAAGGTGTCGCCGGTACGCTATCGGCTTCGCTCTTTAAAGGAAGGGTCCGTTGTTGAAATTTCGCGGCAGTATTTTCACGGATCGTCTCTGCCTCCTGAAGACTTCTGATTTCTCGTAGTACTTGAGCAGTTTCAGGTTTATTCATCGCAGAACGTAGTACTCTTTCCAAAATAGGATTAGGTATATACGAATCCTTTTCGTCGTCCTCCGCTGTTGCAACAAGCACCACTTGATCACAAAATGATACGCTTTTCTTTTTCCCAATCCGCCGTTTCACCTTTCGCGGAGCAATATCCTCCTCGCTTGGCAGAATCGTTGTGTTTTGTATAGTGTTCTGCATCGCCACTTCGCTGATGTCATCTTCCGGACAATCAACAGGCAAACCATTCTCATGCGGGAGTGTCAAGGACATGGATAACATCGCGGCATTTAATTCGCTCTGTTGAACAGATTCATTTGGCGGCACCATTGCAATAAAGCTGTTTTGGCTGGAACTCGAATCAAAACTAGAGTTTAAAACAGTCTGGGAATTTGAAGATTCTATCTTCGTGAAGACCACGGAATTCTCAGAAGATAATTTGGCTGATTTTGTATCCTCTATCGATGACGGTTCCTGAGATATATCCGATGCTAACATCGGAGAAACGCAATTTACATTCTGCTTCGTTTGAGGTTTCACGTCTGAGTCAGACTTCAAGGTCGGTTGGAGCTTGATCTGTTCAAATCTAGCAGCCATATCTTTTACCGAAGAAGCAACTCTCGGACAGTCCGTAACGTCACGACCTTGATCATAACTCTGTCCAAGATTGCTCATCATTAAATCACTAGTTCTTCTAGCGATAGTCGGTCCTGGAATTGTCGGTATT